TGCTTAATCAGTGCTTTAAGGTTCTTTATCCCCAGTTTAATTTCATTGACTTGATTGGTACATCTCCAGAGACGTTTTTGCTCCAATCTTGGTATGACCAACCAAACCGTAAAAGCGGCTCAAGAATCTGTGCAGAAGTCAGAGGAGTTCGATATAAGGTGACATTGTTGTCTTATCGTTTCTGTTTTCTGGATTTTTAAGTTTATGGCCATTCACACACGGAGCATTTAAACCTTTTGTAGGAGGAGTCCCATATCGATTGCAGCAGCTGTTATATACATCATAACACAGCTTTCTGATGAGAAGAAGCCTCTTCGAGGTATGTTGCATTAACATTTTGTGAAGTCAAAACAATCTAACATCAGAATTTCACTTAAAAACAACCATCTTTGATATTGAACCTTGCAGATATATCGTTGGCAACTGGAGTCGCGGAAGGAACTATTAGAAACTCTTACAAAGATCTATACCCTCACCTTCCCAAGATCATACCAGCTTGGTACGCTAAAGAAGAAGATCTCAAGAACCTTCAAAGCCCTTGAGTGCTCATCTTATTCTCTCTTGTTTCTGGCTAACCACGCCTTCTTATTTAATATATCAAGTCAAGTGTCGATTTGAATCTGGGCTTAGACTTAGAGTTATCTGGTCCATAAGTGCGACTCGAGCCACTCTTGAACAAGAGTTTTCAAGTAGATTTGTATACCAAAAAAAAAAAAGAAAAATCATTATGATTAGAAAAAACAAAGTTTCTTGTGCTATAACTTTGTTTGAATTGATGAGATGGTATTTCTGCCATTTCCAACATCATCCCATCGAACATCTTACATCATTGGAGAAGCTCGGAAACGTGGATATGGGTGTTATCATTAATAGAGAAGTCGGCTTTCGCATGTTTTAGCCTCTTTTCAATCGTTCATGTCACTTGTCGGATGTGATTAATTTATGAGGTCATGTGCACATAGAGAGATGCGATTAGTGTGTATTTATGTTATAAAAAGAGATTTGAGAATACTGAATTTATCGTCATCCTTTTTCCATCATGTATTGTTAACAGCGTTGGTTAAGGGGTGGGTCAGAATAAAAGAAAACCTAATCAAATCGGATCTGAAATTCTCGGTTTAGAGAATTAATTCCCAGCCGCAAGCATTCAAATTCTTGACTTTTTGTTTTTGTTTTTGTTAAAGCTTAACTTTGCAAGATAAAATAGTGGATCTAACGATTTATATATGGGTAAAATAGTTAAGGAAATTAGTTCCAAATTTCACCAATTTTCTTACATGTTCGGTTTCTACAGTTAAATTACGTTTTATTTTGCATAGAAAGGAATAATGAACTCTGAGGCATGTTATATGAACTTTCATGAATCATGCAGAAATAAATAAAGACGACATTTTAGCAAAAAAAAAAAAATATAACAAATAAAGACGACCTAGTAATTTTTTTTTTTTTGCATGACGACCTAGCAATTTAGTACTAGTAGTATAGAATAAGCGACATTATAAAGAAAAAAGTTGATAAATAAACTTTGCTCATGCATCATTGGTTTACATTTTACCTACCACAAGGATAATTTTTGCCAAGTGGCTACAGAGATTGGACCGACGTCACCTATCTATGCGCTCATCTTTCATATTCTTTCTCTGAGTCATCAAATCGTCATCTCTCGACAATATTCCACTCAAATTAAAGTAGTTTTTAGATTTAGAAGTAGTCATTGACTATGTTGTAATAAGTTATAATCTGTTTTAAAAACGACGTACAGTGATTACAATACCAAATTAGTTATATTAATTGAATCAACCACATCTAGATGAAAAAGTATCTATACCCTTCCAGTTTTACTTCAAATTTCGCAATAATGTACATAAGAAGAAAACAAAATCACATGTGGTGTACATGAATTGGTTTCTAAGCTACCTTAACATTGCAATAGAGAATCTTCATTTTAAACATGCCAATTTGTATATAGTTGTGCTTTCTGTCATATTCACTCAATTTGGATCGCAATATCCAAAACACCGTTGTAAAGCAAAAAAACTCATAAACTACTCAATACATGTACATTATCGAAGTAATCACTTAAGTTCATACACGGTGAACAATGATACATATTTTATGTATCCTTGATATAATTTTATATAAAAAGGTGGACAAATCTAAAATGATTATAGATATTGAATGTGCTATTTTTGTTTTGTTTTTTAGAAACATTATACTCACTGGAGAACGATATTCTTATATATTTCTTTTAACATTTTGACAAACCTAGATATGGGGTTTCTCAGCTTCTAGCTGAAAATGGAGATAAACAAACAAACTATCAAAACAAACAAACCAAAACAGTGATAACAGATTCATACAAATCAAGTTATTTAGCAACATCAAAACCAGTTTACACAAGACTACTGTCTTCTTCGAGAGGGTTGGTTTATATCTTGCTTTTGCTTCTAAGAGATGAATACATTAATATATAGTTATACATAATGTATTATATTTTCCATGACTATGTAATAACCATTAATTATTTAAGCCTTACCATAAGATTGGTGAGAGGTATGACTATGGTTAGTAGAAAGGAGAAGCAGAAAAGGGTTTACCCAAATCTCACCAACTCTATCCAATATCAAATTCTTTAATATTTATTTATTTACTTGCAATCAATCTATGTGTGTTGGTAAGCTTTTCGCCATCCATAATGGAATTATGCGTCCTAGACTTTTCCATTCCCATAAGATCAATAAGCCTTGTATGAATCTATATTTGTATAGCGTTCTTTGTATTTCCGTGTATGACTCGTCGTCGTCGATGATGTAAAAAACATATACTAGTTAAAATTTACAAGCCTAAAGGACTTACTCTATATTTGGACGAGCCTAAAACCCTCACAACCAACACGCACACATCGAGATCATGCAAATGAAACCCTTCGACGGAAATTGTGGTCATGTGATTCATTCAAGAATGACCAAATCATCCTATGGTTGCTTTTGTGTTGTTTTTGTTTATATATACTACAGTTACAAGGGATAAATGACATTCAATAAAACATACGATCGATCTGGATAACATTTGGTACGTGAGTTATTTAATGAAATACTCTCGTTTTTTATAAAAGAAAAATAGTAACATAGTAGGAGCATTCTATGCAAGAAAGTAAATCACAAAAATATAAAACAATTTTGTATGGTTAAGAAAGATAATGTATGGATTTTGTGGTCTTCCTCACACTCATACCAAACATCGTGTCCCTATCTCTGGCAATACCTGACCCTCGAGCTCGACAAGTAAGACGGCTCATATAACATGGAAGCCACGTGGCCAATACACATCCGTCCAGATTACAATAAGCATCGAACGGTTGTTGACACATTTCAACTAACTCGTCTGGCTCTCAGCAACTCTTTACGTCTATTTAAAACCCTCAATGTCGCTCACCTTTCTCTCAGGAAATTTATTTGCAATCAAATCAAATTTCCTTTCTAATCCTTTTAATTTTTATAACAAAAATACAATAGTCTTGTAAGCGCAACGTGTGAGTGATCTTGTGTAATAACATCATCACATAGAGTGAAAGAGATCAAGAAAATATCACATTGTTTTTAACCGAAAAGAATCTGATTTCTGAATCCGGGTCATCAAAAGATTTCAATCTTTTCCATTTGGTTCGGCGTTATTCAATGGAGCTGTGCAATCAAAACAACAACCACATCGCCGCCGTCTCCGACGATCCGTTGAACTGGAACTCGGCGGCGGAAGCGTTAAAGGGGAGCCACTTGGAGGAGGTGAAACGTATGGTGGAAGAATACAGAAAAGGGACGGTGAAGTTAGGAGGAGAGACGCTGACGATTGGTCAAGTCGCCGCCGTGGCAAGCGGAGGAGTGACGGTGGAGCTGGCGGAGGAGGCTCGTGCCGGAGTGAAGGCGAGTAGTGAGTGGGTGATGGAGAGCATGAACCGTGGAACGGACAGTTATGGAGTCACCACAGGGTTTGGTGCAACTTCCCATAGAAGAACCAAACAAGGCGGTGCACTTCAAAAGGAGCTTATTCGGTAATACATTTGTTTTCTCAAAATACGTACCACCTTATTAATGTAATATTATTTTTTTCTCATTTTTGTTATGTTTGAAAATTAAATGCGTTGAATATTGTTTTAGACTAGTGAATAAGTGAATTTAAGAATCTTGATAGGTTTTTTAAAATATATTATGTATTTATTGTTAATCAAAATTAAATGCGTTGAAAATTGTTAAACTAGTTAGGAAAAATTAGATCCAGAAGTTATTATGTAGGAGAAAGGAAAAAGTTGATTCGGGTATAAAAATGGTGGGACAAAAGTATGATCTAGGTGATCTCTCTTTCGCCTAACTTTTTAGATTTGTTTGGGTGATTAGGTGAATATTTTTGTCGGGACATTAATTAGCCGAGTTAATTTGGTGTTTGGCAATAATTATTAGGTAAATGTGTGAAAATAAGTTACACATAATGAGTTAGACCGTATTAATTACGCGCATTATCCATTTTGTTATTTAAGATAAATATTTCGGTAACTTCAAAATGTTCGAAGAAAATGAAGGAAATTTGTTTTTTTTATTTAATCGGTAACATGCAATTTATGACCCGAGCAGGTTTCTGAACGCCGGAATATTCGGCGCCAGCGCCGGAGACACATCACACACGTTGCCTAAACCGGCGACAAGAGCGGCAATGCTCGTACGTGTCAACACTCTCCTCCAAGGCTACTCCGGGATACGTTTTGAGATTCTTGAAGCCATTACAAAGCTTCTTAACAACGAAATCACTCCGTGTCTCCCTCTCCGTGGCACCATCACCGCCTCCGGCGACCTTGTTCCGCTCTCGTACATCGCTGGACTCCTCACCGGCCGTCCAAATTCAAAAGCCGTGGGTCCCTCCGGTGAGACTCTCACTGCTTCCGATGCCTTTAGGCTCGCCGGAGTATCCTCCTTTTTCGAGCTGCAGCCTAAGGAAGGACTAGCGCTTGTGAACGGGACAGCGGTTGGATCGGGTTTGGCCTCGACGGTTCTGTTTGAAGCCAATGTTTTGGCGGTTTTGTCTGAAGTTATGTCCGCGATGTTCGCTGAGGTTATGCAAGGGAAACCAGAGTTCACTGACCATCTTACTCATAAACTCAAGCATCATCCTGGTCAGATTGAAGCCGCAGCGATTATGGAACATATATTAGACGGAAGCTCTTACGTTAAAGAAGCTCAACATCTCCACGAATTGGATCCGCTTCAAAAACCTAAACAAGATCGGTAACGTTTCTTGCTTCTCAAGTAAAACGGCTTTTGTGTGTTGAAAGTTGTTTATGTTTTGGTTTGGTTAGCTGAGAGAAGTTTTTCTATTAAGTTGCAGGTACGCGTTACGTACATCTCCGCAATGGCTTGGACCTCAGGTCGAGGTGATTAGAGCAGCGACTAAAATGATTGAGCGTGAGATCAACTCTGTTAACGATAACCCTTTGATCGATGTGTCAAGGAACAAGGCTTTGCACGGCGGGAATTTCCAGGGGACACCGATTGGTGTGGCCATGGATAATTCTCGTCTAGCCATTGCTTCTATCGGAAAGCTCATGTTCGCGCAATTTTCAGAGTTGGTGAATGATTTCTACAACAACGGTTTGCCTTCTAATCTATCAGGTGGGAGAAACCCTAGTCTTGATTACGGGTTTAAAGGAGCGGAAATAGCTATGGCTTCTTATTGCTCTGAGCTCCAGTTCTTGGCTAATCCCGTGACTAACCATGTCCAAAGCGCTGAGCAGCATAACCAAGACGTTAATTCCCTAGGGTTGATCTCGAGTCGTAAAACCGCAGAAGCAGTGGATATCCTCAAGCTCATGTCCACGACCTACTTAGTCGCGCTCTGCCAAGCGGTTGATCTAAGACATCTTGAAGAGAATCTGAAGAAAGCGGTTAAAGCCGTTGTGAGCCAGGTGGCGAAACGGGTGTTGATCGTTGGTGTGAACGGTGAGCTACATCCATCGAGGTTCACTGAACGCGATGTCCTCCACGTGGTTGATCGAGAGTACGTGTTCTCGTACGCAGACGATCCCTGTAGCCTTGCTTATCCGCTGATGCAGAAACTTAGACACATTCTTGTAGACCATGCTTTAGCGGATCCAGAACGCGAGGCTAACTCGGCGACCTCGATTTTCCAGAAAATCGGAGCGTTTGAGTCTGAGCTTAGGTCACTTCTTCCTAAAGAAGTGGAACGTGTTAGGGTTGAGTACGAGGAAGGATCGTCGGTTATAGCTAACCGTATTAAGGAATGCCGGTCTTATCCGTTGTACCGGTTTGTCCGTGATGAGCTTGAGACTGAACTGCTTACCGGAGAGAAGGTTCGGTCACCGGGAGAAGAGTTTGACAAAGTGTTCTTGGCGATTTCTGATGGAAAAGTTATTGATCCTTTGTTGGAATGTCTCAAGGAGTGGAACGGAGCTCCGATTCCGATCTGTTAAAAAATCTTATTAACGAACTTTCTTTTCACTTACAGGATTTGTGTTTCTTTTTCTCTTGATTTCCACGACATTGCACAACACTTGAAACTTACATGTTTCTTTGTATGATAAAAATGCTCTGTTTATGTATTGTATCACACACACCCTAAGATGGTGTTGGCAAAGTGGTTTACGGTCAATTTAAATCAATGCATGTTGAAGGCTTTTTACAGTATTATCTAATCAGGAATTATGAAAAAGAGAGAAGCTTGACGACTTGTTATGCGTTGGAGCTGGTCTTATATAGCTGAGCCTTGTTTTTCATTTTCTCATTGTCATCCATAACCAAGATGCCTTTTCTTATGGAGTGTTACAAGTGTAGCTTACATTTATTGGTCACCAGCTTCGGAGAAGCCTATATATAGAGATAAAGAGATAGAGAGATTATGCAAATGAAGTCCCGGGATGGACCTTTTGGTGGAACAAGATGATCATTTTTCAGCATATGTGACAGAAAGAGGACTCAAGATCCTCCAGGATTGGTGAGCTTATGTTGATTCACTCAAGATTCACATTCCTCTCAAGCAAAAAAAAAAAAAAAAAACTGAAAAAATGGATTTCCATGATAGATGTGAAGTTGCAAAGCTATGAAAATAGACAGATTCTGATCTTTTTACGAACATTGGCTTTCAAAATTGACTCTTTGTGAAAAGGCTTAGCAGGGGAGCAAAGGAAAGAAGAAAGGGATTTGCAGATTAATATATGTTGTATTGTTGTTGAGTACTTCCCTAAGATTTCAGTTCTTGTCGAGACAGTTTCTGTTCTGGACACACGGTTCTTGTCGAGACAAAGTTAAAAAGCTAATCTTTGTCTTAAGAAAAAAAAAAGAAGTCTTACTCCAATGTAAACCAAATATTGTTGTGTGTTCGCAGCAAAAACACGACAAGTAGTTTCTCGGCACCGCTTCTGGGTCTTAGCGTTTTCCACAAGTGAAGAAGAAGAGAGAAGCAGACGCAAAAAAAAAAAAAAAAATGGCTACTCTTTCTTCCTCTCTGTTATCGTCTTCCCCTCTATGCAAATCCAGATTCTCGCCAACAACTCTCGTCTCGGGAATTGATTTCATCTCTTTCTCGCCTCGAACAGCTCTCTCCTCATCCACCATCTCCGTTGTCTCGCCGGCGATTCTATGTCTCTCCGTTAAGCAGAATCGGCAGAGAAACTCGCTCCAAGGTTCAAAGCTCCAAAGTTTCCCCTTTTCCTGATTGAAACATTGGAATTGAGTAATTCGAAGGATTGCACAGCTTCTCTCTCTCTCTCTCTCTTGTTTTTTGATTTGGATTTTTGTGGGTTCAGTGAAATCAGTAGCTAGCCCAACGGAGACGGCATCGGAATTCGATGAGATGGTCTCCGGCACGAAACGAAAGTATTACATGCTGGGAGGGAAAGGAGGAGTGGGCAAAACTAGTTGCGCTGCTTCTTTAGCTGTCAGATTCGCCAACAATGGACACCCAACTCTTGTTGTATCTACTGATCCAGCACATTCCTTGAGCGATTCTTTTGCTCAGGTAAAACGAGTGAACATTCTGTGAACTGGTGTGTCTCTCTTTTGTTTGTTGAAGAAGATATGATTGGTGTGTCTCTCTTTTGTTTTAGGACTTGACCGGAGGAATGCTTGTGCCTGTAGAAGGACCCGAATCTCCTTTGTTTGCTCTGGAAGTATGTGTCGTGGAAAGCAGATGTTTTTTTTTATATTTTAAATTCTGGAGTTATGTTTGGGGTATAATTGGTTTCTGTGGTGATGATCCTACACTCAAATAGAGTTTTAATTTATAGCTATGCAACAGATAAACCCTGAGAAGGCTAGGGAAGAGTTTCGTAGTGCGTCGCAGATGAATGGAGGAACTGGGGTGAAAGATTTTATGGATGGTATGGGACTTGGGATGCTTGTAGAACAGGTATGTAGACGTGTGAGCTTCAATGTTTCTGATACTAATCTAGGTGTGGCTCAAATGCCTCTTGCTATTATGCTTATGATACTGTCTCGTTTTCTGTGGTTAATGGAAGTTGGGGGAACTTAAACTTGGAGAGTTGCTTGACACACCGCCTCCTGGATTGGATGAAGCCATTGCCATTTCTAAGGTAATTCTGATATTATATCTGATCCTCGTTGCTTTTGTTGTGTGATTTGCTGAATGTCAAGGGTTTTTCACAGGTCATTCAATTTTTGGAATCACCCGAGTATAACATGTTCACCAGAATTGTGTTTGATACTGCACCAACGGTGAGCAAGATTCACTGAAAATTTCCCTCCTTTAACAAAAAAAAAGGAAAAAATTTACTGTTAAGACAAATGTTGCTACTTGCAGGGTCATACGCTAAGGCTACTCTCCTTACCTGACTTCTTGGACGCGTCCATTGGTAAAATCTTGAAGGTGGAAAATGTCGATAAATCATTTCTTCTACACTCTTATGTTGGTTTGTTTACCAGAGTGCCCATCTTTTTCTGAACTTTTGTTTTCTTGAATATCTCTTCTCATCTTCAGCTTAGGCAGAAAATAACCTCGGCTACTTCAGCAATCAAATCAGTCTTTGGGAAAGAAGAAAACAAGCCTGATGCTGTAAGTCTGCGTGTATATTGGCGGATATAGTAGTCTTCATCTTGTGTGGACACCGTTTGATTCCTTTTAAATTTCATTGGATGTGAAAAGGCCGACAAATTGGAACGACTAAGAGAAAGGATGGTTAAAGTCCGCGAGCTTTTCCGTGACACAGAATCAACAGAGTTCGTCATTGTCACTATCCCTACGGTAATACATACATATACATCTCCTTAAAGGTCCTCCTATCTTCAAAAATGCCATGTCTAAGCATTTCCATTAAAAGTTAGTCTAAAGTTAGCATCTCACCGCTCTTAATGTTTGTTGATATCCTAAAGGTAATGGCTGTCAGCGAGTCTTCTAGACTAAGTGCTTCCTTGAAGAAGGAAAGTGTCCCCGTCAAAAGACTTGTTGTTAATCAGATTCTCCCGCCATCCTCCTCAGACTGCAAATTTTGTTCCATTAGGAGAAAGGTATATATATTACACGCACCCACACAAACTTTTCATTTCTTATGGACTCTTTCAAACCGAAGATTGGTCTTGTATACTCCTCAACCAAAGAATCATTGCTCATTTGGGTGGTCAGTGACCGCCACAAAGAATGGAAGAGAAATTTAGCCCATGTATGTTTGATGTGGTGAAAAATGCATCTAAACGTTAAAAATGAACGTGCAGGACCAAATGCGTGCTCTTGATATGATTCGGGAGGATTCAGAACTCTCTGGCTTGACATTAATGGAGGCTCCGATGGTTGATATGGAGATCAGAGGTGTCCCTGCTCTGCGCTTCTTGGGCGATATCGTTTGGAAATAAGATCATCATCACACATTCGTAGTCATAATGAAGAAGAAGCAAGTTCACTTGTATGAGATAGTGTTGGTTAATACATCAGATAGTTTTGGCACAGATGTTGGAATTGTTCTTGGATGAACCAAATCATTGTCAGAGACTTTGATGGGTTTGGTCTTCCGGTAAAAATGAAAATTGACGAGCGTATCACATACTCGGCACTTTCTGTATTTTTTTTTTTAATGTTTGATAGAGGAAGAATATAGAAAGACAATATTAAGGGTCATTGATATCTGGCAGACTATGAATTTAGTATTTACTACTTTTGATAGGTGTAAAAATGTTAACTTCAAAATTTTGGTGCGTAAAACAAGATATTGCAATTCTTGGGGAGCAAAGCCGCAAGATATTTACAGTACATAGTAATGCGTAGAATAAGACCTAAAATAAGCCATTGCTTTACATAATAAAACAGCATGGCTTCACCTTTTACACAACCAAAAGGAGATGATAACTTAAGCCAGTGTTAATCCAAATTACATTTATTTTACTGACTTAAAATCTAAACCCCTCTATTTTATTTACAAATTATTTGCAAAATATATATAACATGAACCATCCATCATGAGGTGCTTTGCTTAGTTAGGCTGTACATATAGCTCTCTGTTCATCAAATTGTCCCTCTTTCTCTGGTTGTGTTATATATCTAAGTTAAGAAGCTCGAGGTTTACTTACTCAGATGGCGAAGGAGTAGCATTTGCGGTTAGAGAGGACGAAAGCCCGATTCTTCTCTCTGCAGAAAAAAAAGGAAACAATGATTCATGTTCATGACTGTCTTACCAGAATTTATACAGAGAGAGAGAGAGAGAGAGAGAGAGAGAGAGAGAGAGAGAGAGAGAGAGAGAGAGAGAGAGAGAGAGAGAGAGAGAGAGAGAGAGAGAGAGAGAGAGAGAGAGAGAGAAGAATTCTTTACCTCCAGTGGTGATAAGTTTTTCAACCCGGGCAACGATGTGTTTCCCATATGTGTATCTCTTTAAGGCATTCAAGTGGACTTTGATGCGAGAAAGAATTAGTGCAAGACTTTGATCATCGCATGTTTCTAGAACCTTTTGCACTACGTAGTTCCCAAATGGATCCTTCATCATCGCCTGCAAATTGTTTTCGACACTTAGTGGGACTTTTTTTGAGACATTTCAGAAAGACACGGGCGAGAAAATATATTTTAGTTGCAGACCTGAAGAGGCTCGTTTTCATCAGTATAACCAAGCATTTCATTCACTAGAACCTGACGTTCCTCTGGACCGCCAAATGTTAAGCATTTTTCGACAACGTTTGAAGCAAACTTCTGTTGACTCATCTTCACAATCTGCCCAGCAAGCTTATTGATAATTTCTGACCGTTCATGTGGTTTGCCGTGTTGTATGATATGCTACAGCCAGGAGAAAGAACAATTATTATCAGGGTGTCCAATTTTCATGCAGCAACAATGTATATCCAAAGCATTCACAAACTTACCTGAATAACATAATTTCCGTACTGATCTTGAGCTAGAGTGCAGACTGACTGCATGATTTCCTCCATGATGATTCGTTGGGTTTCTACGTCATCAATATGCTCCAGTACCCTCTGACGTGATTCCAAATAAGACATCACAAGTACTGTTAATAGGGGGCAAGAAAAAACTGGAAATTCACTTGATTATATCACCTATAAAATATAAGGTGTGATGTTTTTATCAAACCTGGATTACACGACATCCATAAGGGTGTGTTGAAAGAGAAAGGACTTTCCCGTAAAATGAGGAAATAATGAACTGTATATAATCCTGAGGAAGACGCTCTATA